ATATATATATATATATATATATATATATATATATATATATATGGAGAGAGAGAGAGAGTGTGTGTGTGTGTGTGTGTGTGTGTGCCTGCATGTCAGAGGCCTCAGACTAGCCAGTGTTTGCTGCCTGATTGGTGGCTCAGTCTCTGAGAGCTCTCAGTGGTCTGGGATAGTAGAGACTGCTGGTCATGTTCCTATAGGCCCAGCTCCTCTTCCGGTTCTTCAGTCCTTTGAATAGGGCAATTGATTCTTCATAATTGATTATTCATATTGTAGTTTATTAAATAGTCAAAAGACCTCTCCCTGCTTCTTGTAATGGTTGTACGAATTTACATTCCTACCAGCAATGTGTAAGCCTTCTCTTTACTCCCAATTCTTGACAGATGGTCTTCACCTTGTCTTTTTGTTAAAGAGTTGTTCTTTATGGAATGGCAAAGTAGCTTCCTTTTCTTTGCCTTGTTCTTTTCCTGGCTGTTAGCCATTCTGAGCATATTTCCTTTACTTGTTGACTATTTCTTTTAAGAAGTATCATATAGGTTGTTTCCCTACTCATTAATCAGGTTACTGTTATGAATTTCAGAAATCCTTTCTCTAGTGTGAGTATTAGCCTCTTGTGAGATGTCTTGTCTGCTAATGCTTTCCCAGGTGTGTTGCCTGTCTTTGCTCTCTGCTGCCTCCTGCACCATGGTGGTACAGATGCCTTTGGTTTGATGTGATCATATTTGGTTACCTCTGCTTTTGTTTCCTGTACCTCTGAGAACCTGTCACAAGAAAATTCTTGCCATTCCAGTGCCCGGAAACACTTCTTATTTTTTGTAACCCAGTAGCTTTATTGTTTCAACTCTTATATATAAATCTTTCATCAATTTATAGTCAGCGTTTGTAACTAGACAGAAATATCTGGCCTCATTCTACATATGGATGTCAGGGTTCCCAACAGCATTTATGGGAAAGACTTTTTCCCCAGAGGGTGCTTAACATTGCCTTGCAGAAAATTTTTTGAGTGGGAATAAAGAATTACTTCTAGGCTTTATGCATTACCCATGCAGTTACTTTTCTGTTTTTAGGCTGGGATCACTCTTGTTTATGTTTGTTTCAGTGGAGAACTTACTTTGTATTATAATTGAGAAAGTTGCAGTGTGTTCTGGGATGTGACTTAGGTTTGTTTTTATGCTCTTACTTTTGCTTGTTTGATGAAAGCTTTATTTTTAGCATTTAGTTTTCATACACTGTACACATGGAAGACAGGACATGAAAACAGCACATAAGGAAATATACAGAGAAATCCTCTTGCCTTTCCCTTTACTTTTTTTTTTTTTTCCCTTCGAGATACAGTTACCATTCCATTCTGTGCTGACACAGGTTTCCACATTACCACTTGTGGTCTATTTGCATCAAAGTGAATTTTCTGTGGTCAACGTGATCTGTTGTCTAATGTCAATAATGTCCTAGTTTCTTACATGTCATGATTGCCACACTGATTCATGTATCAGGCATCATTCAGTCATGACAGAAATACATGGGAAGTATATAATTTCCCCTGTGATTTGAAAAGAAATCGAATTTGGAAACTTAGGATGTTTTATAAAGCTGCATTTCTGTAGCTTGGGCCATTCTCCTAACATGTCCTTTTTCATTTTCCCCTTAACCTTCACTTCCTTTCAGTCCATGGCCTCTCTCTGTAGTTGTCCCTTCCCTGCCCTATGTTTGCTCTTTGCTGTAGACCAGTCTGAGGCTCATCCAGTGTTGATGGATTGAGTGAAGCTCTGTTTGATAGTATTCCCAGGTTTTTGGTACAAATAATTTGTGTTTCAGTGGAGGACTCATAGTGACCAACACATTGAACATGGAGCATGGCGAGACTCAGGTCTCAGCAGCCAGAGTGAACTGTGTTAGCCCACTGCTATCTTGTTCCTTAACTCCTACAGTCAGGGTTTATGAAGTACCACCAGTATTGTATCTAGTGTTCTGCTTATATTGTAGGCATGATTATGACTGAAGTTTTAAAAATAGGGATAGGTATACAGCATGTGTTATTTTTGCTAAATTCAAACTTAACGTGCAACTCACCTTTTTTATTTTTTTCTTCAGTTGGGTGCAAAGCTTTGGACATGAAGGACTCGGATTATTACTGGACATTTTAGAAAAACTAATTAATGGGCAAATGTGAGTATTGCTAAGAATTTTTAATTAAGCTCTCTTAGTATGTCCAACTGTAATCCAATATTGTTATCTTTTATCTTAATGCAGCCAAGAAAAAGTTGTGAAGAAGACTCAGCACAAAGTTATCCAGTGTCTGAGAGCCCTGATGAACACACAGGTAAGCAGAGGAAGCTGCAGCTTGCTCACACAGGGTCTCACGTCAACGAGAGTGTCACCATTGAGGGCTTTGTTTGCAGATTATGGGGTGATACTAGGTTTCATTCCAGTTTGATGGAGCATCAGATCTTAGGAGAAGCTTGGCAGTGAGCAGGCTCACTCTTGAAGCTTAAACCCTTGTCTGGAGATGAACTCACTTTCTCTCCACTTTGACTCTTCTTTTGCTTCTCTCCCTCTTGATTTTCAAAACCTCAGCAGGATCAAAGCCTTAGTATACTACACAGTTACTAGCTATATGCTGTCATATCTTACCAGAGATTCAAGTTTTGTGAAGACTCATGTTTTTTATCTTAAGAATATAAAGTTAATATATACAAGCATGAGAAGATTCTAGAAATGAAGTAGTGATACATTTATTATTGAGGCAGCATATGGCACATCCGTAGCATGTGTGTAGTAAATTTTAGTGAAACAGAATACTTCAGACCTTCACTGCCTAGCCCACCTCCATTTTGCTGATTGCTGATATTACCATCATTTCCTGCCATTTCTTTAGCTCTGAGTATGATCTCCCCCACCTCACAATGAGTGAAATAATGACGGGTATGTTTGTTATTGGCGGGCAACAGGTTATGTATGGGAAGAGTTTATGTTTGGGTCTTGTGATGTGTGATACCTGTTATATAGAAAGCAGTACATTTTTCTAATGTGGATTTTTTTGCGTTTTTCGTTAAAAATAAACATTCACAGGGTTAAATATATAAATGTTTAAATCATTACTATTTAATTTTATTATACCAAATGTTTGTTTTTTAATTATTTGTGGTTTATGTGAAAGCATTAAGTTTTTTAAAAACCTGTTTATGTTGCATTTATGTGTGTTTGTACATATCACATTTACCATAGTGTAAATGTTGAGGTCAAAAGACAGCCCATGGACATCGGTTCTCTTCTTTTACCATGTGGCTTCTTGGGACTGAACCCAGGTCCTCAGGCTTGGCCCAAGTGTCTTTTTGTGCTGAGTCATCTTTCTTTCCTGGCCACTCTGGTACTTTTCAATGAGACTGCCTGATGAGTAGAACCAGAACTCAATTTTATTTTATTTACTTTTTAAAATTAATTTGGTTAATCTTTGTTTTTTTGAAGTAGGCTATTTGTATGTCTTGGAAGTGTAAGACAACCTAGACTTAGAGTGAGGATTTGAAAATCCTTCCCAGCCCGCATGAGCCACTTTTAAAGTGAGAAAGTTGAAGGGGAATTTTGCTGGTGACATGAAGCTCATAGGAGAGGAAATGCAGGCGTGCCTTATTCAAACCAAACGGGTGTATATGGCTAAAATTGAATTTGAGAAGACTAAGGTTTAACATGAATTAAGGTGTAACAAAATAACATCCCTACTTGGTTTTCATCAGCATTTGAGGGTAACATATCTGTACTCTTTCTCAATCTGTTATATCATGGTCGATTTTATTTCTCGTAGTTTGTTAATGTAGACCCATAAAAATACTGCATTTGAATTTGATAGTGGCGCTTAGGCTAACAAGGACACAAATTCAGTAGCTGATGCATGGGATTAATAATTTAATGTCTAGATTTTCGTATACAGTATTGTTGGTCACATTACTAGCGTGAGGATGCAGTTAGCTCTCCTGCACTTCATTGAATCAGCTATACAGGTGCATACTTTGCCAATTGTCACTGTGAAGTCTTTGCTGGAAATACAGTTTTTAAGTTATTTGATATCAACAATTAAGTATGTCATTGATATGTACAACTGCGACATCCTATGGAAATGAATTTCTTTTATCACAATAAATGTGACTAAAATATTTTTTAAGTGGATCTTTTAAAATACTGAGACAATAAAAAAGACTTCCTTTTCCTCAGACATTTGGGGTTTGAATCATGTGCCCATTAGGAAGGGACTCTTGGGATTAGTTTCCCCCATCACTGACATTCTCTCTGCTGTGGGGATACACTCACCATTGGCCATTGCTTATCTCCATAGTCATGCAGTACTGATGGTGGGTGTCTTTTCAGGGGTGAGAGTATTTTTGTTCCTTTACGTGAATTCCTCATTTTCAGCAGCCTAGAATTCTGTTAGGTAACAATAGGACTCCTGTGGAATACAAATAGAACCCAGCCTTGGTCCTGGGTATAGAACAGGCCAATTATATTGTCCCAAGTTGGTCCTTGGCATTCAAGAAAGATACTTTTTTAGACATTCGTAAATTGATGGTAGCATTCTCGCTTGTAAAAACCTTCATTAAAGCACTTTGATGTTAGCACTGGTAAGTGAACTATCTCTCACAGTTGGTTTCTTTTTTCTAAGTCGTTGTATATGTTATTTTTTTGAAGTATATAGCAGTACCCTGTTTAGTAGTAGTTACAGAAAAGGGCTAATCTGGCCTCATTCTATTTTTATTTATTTTTATTTAATTTTTTTTCATTGAGAAAATTGGAGAGCATGCCTCTGTATCACAAGGTGGTAATCAAACCCCCAAATCAGAGTATACTAACATTCTAGCCTTCCTCCACAGTAGTTCAAACCAGAAGGTTGGATAGAAAAGGCAGAAAGTCTGCCTGCACACACATCGCAGATTGTCTTGAGTCTGGGGAAACCACCTTATTCTGAATCTGGAAGGCAGGCACCAAAGACAGGTTTTACCTAGCCCTCAGATTTGTTAGGCCAAAGCTTGCCTTTTGTACTTGGTAACCTTTGATTTTCTGTGTCAGGTCCATGGTGCTTTATAGACTACTGACAGTTTTCTGTAATACTACCAAGGCATGAGGCTTTTAGCTGTACACCAGCTTTTCAAGTCTTAGCTTCTAGTTATGAAACAGGTCAGAACATTATAAAAGCAAGCCTTTCCTGACCAGTTCAATTGTCAGTAAGCTTTCTCCCATTAGTAAGGAGAGAGTTTTTCCCACTGCTGTTTCTGTGGCTTTGGCTCCTCTCCTTGCACTTCCTCTGACATCTGTGTGTACCTTAGTGATTTCCAGCAAGTGTAGTAGTTCAGCACAGGGTCAAGTTTGTTTTCTGTCGTTACATAAATACTTATATAAGAGATAATAAAGTTATAAATATGATTTTATAAAAAAGAATTTTGGCTTAAGCTTGTTAGAGTTTTGCCTTTTACACTTATATCTATTGCCAATTTTCATCTGTAATTGATTGGCATATAATTGGGATTAAGTCTCCTGAGTTCATTTAGAGCAGTGACTTGATCCTTACTTACCATGCTATGTAGATGGATCCTTTGAATTACAGGAGTATTATTTGCTGTTTTCTGTTGTATACATTTTTATACTGATGTAGAGTTTTGTTATGCCAAAAGATATATACATCTTTAAAATAGTATGCATTTAACCTATGTACTGGGTTAATTATCTAAAATTTTTCATGAAAATGACACATAGCTATTCATGATTTTTGTCACCCTTACCTTTCTCTTGGACAGTGCTGATCTGTGTGTTGGCTTGTAGCTCCTTACCGACTTTGTCAGAGCAGAGATGCTCTTGTCCTCACTGGCTATTCTAAGATTTGCCTATTTGTTTTGTATGTCACTTGAGAATTCCTTATTTCTCTATAGGTTCTTTGCATTTGGCAGATTTCATAGCTCTTATCATAAAGTGGATACTTTTAGGATGTGAAACTTTTATGATGTTCAAAGATCTTCATACGTTGACTTTCTTAGATGTAAATGTAATTTTAAAAATATATTCACTTTCTTTTGGAATCCCTCTTAACATTTACTTTATTTTTGAATGTGACAGTATGGCTTAGAAAGAATTATGAGTGAAGAGAGGAGTCTTTCCTTGTTGGCAAAAGCCATGGATCCCAGGCAGCCCAGCATGATGGCAGATGTGGTGAAGCTTCTTTCTGCTGTGTGCATTGTTGGGGAGGAAAGCATGTAAGTTCCCACTGTGACCACTGCGTCTGGTGATTTACAGAAGTTTACAGTTTCAATCATGACTTATTTGCAGATAGTTTGTTCAGTTTCTTATTTGCATAATTGTAATATTTGTCCAATCATTTTGTTAAGCAAATTATTAGTTGGGGTCTAAAATAATCCTATGAACAACTGATTTCCTCATTATATTTGAAACTGCTTTAAGCTCAACCCATAATAAAAATTCTAAGGGGAGGGTGAAAATATATGAGTGGGTTTCTTTGTTATCTAATTCTGTTTTATGCACAATTAATTGAGGTTGTGAGTCACACTGACCTTTTCTAAAAACAAGCACATTAGTCTTTGAAAATTTGTATGTAAGATGTGACAAGGTGAATATATAATAGTACGAAAAACTCACCAAAGCATTTAGGTATTTGGTTACATTTATTATGGTAATAACTAATCAACTCCTCAACATATATCCTAATGATAAGATATACAACCCTTTCCTTAAGCAAGATTAGGATTCTAATTTATAAGAAAGCCTTTAAAATATAATTTTTTTTAAATGAGAAAACTAAACAACTGAAGAACAAAGACCGTGCTTCTAGTTATCAGAGAATTGAAACAGTCCTGGCTAGATTATTTTGAAAGGCCTAGGCTTGAGCCTGGTTTCAATAAGCTGTTTAAGGAGATGGTAAAATGCGGAGAAAGGATGTCATCAAAATGTCTACTGGCAACTGCATCCAGTGATGGATCCCATGTATGTCTTTAGGTTACTGGATGTTAGCTGTATGCTTACATAGAGGAAGAACTGACATGCTGAGCAAGAAGTGTGCAGAATAGAAACTGTAGAGCCGTCTGTGGGTCCGAGGTGCTGGAATGCTCTTCCTGGGAGATGAGCTCCTCTCTGACTGCAGGAGTTGTGCATCTCTCAGCATGCACCCACAGCGCTCCTGTCACAGTAGATGTGATCTTAACCTGAGTACATTTGGTAGAACTTTCATGATCTCCTTAGAGTCAGCCTTGGGGCAATCCTGCCAGAGCAGACACCACTGACTGCCTCAGTGTGGCTGGAGTTGGCCCATTAAACAGCACGCTGAAACCTGGTTCCTTGTGCACCTGTGCCTGTAGCAGTCACTTAGCTAATCAGACTGTGGTCCCAGGCATCAAAAACGCCAAGCATCCGATTTCATTACTTTCCCCAACTAAGAGAGGTTGTTCAGATTTTGGTATACAAATCTAAGAGTTGATGTGTGGCTCTGACTGAGCACTTCCTTCTGTCTTCCTTTTAGTCTTTGTTAGCCCTTCCTTCTACTTCCTCCGTCCTCTTCTCTCCTCATTCTTTCTTTCTTTGCTCCTCTTCCTCTTAGACTTTCCTTCTCCTTCGCTTTTCTTTTGTCTTCCCTTCTTCTTTTTTCCTACTTTTTCCATTTTCTTCCCCCTTTACCTCTTCTTCTTCCTCCTCCTCCTCTTCCTCCTCCTCCATCCTCCTCTTCCTCTTCCTCTTTCTCTTCTTCCTCCTTCCCTACCCTTCTCCTCCTGAGCAGCAACAGATTTTGTTCAATTCCCATTTCTTTCAGTGCTGGGAAGGAGACTCAGGGCTTGAGATGCACTAAGCCAGCGCTCTCCCACTGAGCTCTAGTCTCAGCCCTTGTGTATTACTTTTAGTGTTTCTTGAATTGGAATGAATGTGGCAGTGATTACCATAACATTTAGGGCTGCATATTTTCATCCATAGAAGATGAGTTTATATATTGTTTAAAGCAAAAATGTTCCTTTTATAAATATTTTACATTTAGTGATTTAGTTCAGTTTGCTACCTAGACTGCCAGAGGTTCGATCCACGTGTCACCACTTTGGAGAAGTACATGTTACACTGTAACAAGTTGTTCAGTCCCTTTCTGCCTTGATTTCTTATTTATATTGAATACTAACACACCCACTTCATATAATTATATACATTAAAATCCAGGATATGTTAATTATTGAAAATGATAATTTATGTTTTAAAAAAAGGTAGAAGGAGTTTTAAATGCTTTTGTCATGAGAGAATGTCATATGTGGGAGGTAGATATACTTTCCCTGAGTTATTACATGGCTCCAACGTGCATTGAGACATCGTATCATATTGTACAGTTATTTATCAATTAAACAGTAAAAGGTCATAGGTGAGGTTATATTGGTAAAAATTGTTCAAATAGCCCCTGCTATTTGGTGATTTATAGATGCTTGACAGACACCTTCACAAGGTATTGGCAGGAAAAAAAAATCGAAATAAGTCCTTAGGGTATCACCTTATTCAGACAGAAAGACGCCGTTCTTTCCTCTAGTGGGTGCCACTGGGGGAAGGGAGCTAATGTAAGAGTAGAAGACTGTGAACATAGGGAAGAGGCTGCGAGCCTGAGGCTGGGAGAAGTGGGGCAAGCCAAGTGCAGTGAGGATGGATGTGACTGGAGATGGCCCAGGGCATCCACTGATCTGTCCAGTTGGCACACACTTGCAGTAATGACAAGAACTCATTAAGCTACTGAGAAATACCACTGTTGCCTGGGCACATTGACTTAATTAATAGGATAAACTTGTTGTATTTTGCTGTTTTTGTTATTTGATCTTTGCAATTTAATTAATAGAATCTAAATTTTTGATAGCCTTGAAGAAGTGTTAGAAGCCTTGACTTCAGCTGGAGAAGAAAGAAAAATTGACAGATTTTTTTCCATTGTGGAAGGCCTCCGGCATAATTCAGTGCAACTGCAAGTAGGTTTCCTGTTTTAAAGTCTAATTCTGAGTGACATATCATGTGTATTGTTTGGAACTGTCTTGTGATTGAATTTTATGTAAACATCATATAACTGCAAATGTCTTTTTGTGTTTTCTATATAATGAATGTATAAGATTCCATGTTGTATTCTCAGAACATCTTAAAAATGTCTTTGTGAATACCTATGGTTCCTTCCTTAGGTTTACTTTCCAACTGTAAACTTACAAAATTTTCTACAAAACATGTCACAAAGTCCTCTGATTGTTTGATAATTATTTTTAATTTAAGCCCTTTTTTTAGTTACATGAATTGTAACTTTTCATTGTAGATTTTATAACTGATATTGGGAGTATCTGTAAGTAATAGTGAGTTTTTACATACTAGCAAGCTGAATGATATGACAGAAATCTGATTTAAACTATACAAAAGTTTTTATATATGTAAAATGCTATGGGTGCTTTAACAAAGAGGCGTCTGTGCAGTATGGCTCATGTTGATTTGTTTCTAATGTGAAAGGAGTAGAAAAGCGTCTTAAAACTTAAAAGCGTCAAGTTAAAATTAAATTGTATATATGATATTTCAAGAAAAATCAGATGATATTTGAACTGTAAAATTAATTAATGTTTTCTGTTATGTCACATGACATGCTATCATTCACTCCTTTGAAACCCTGTTCCTGGATTCATTAATTATGTCAGTATGCAGGACTGAAGATTAGAATAAAGGACAACTATTGCTTGTGTTCAGCTTCTGGAACCAGCGTCTCATCTTGCTAAGTGGATAAGAAGTTGGGGTCCACCAGCATCCTGTACTGACCTGTACACCTCACAGCCAGGGTTACTTGTTTTGATTCTTGTCCCCTCCTGACCCCTTGCCATTCTTCTTCTCATCATTTTGCTTCCTTCTGTCTCTTCTCTTCTGCCTGCTGTCCTCTTTTCCATTCACTCTCTTACTTTCCCTTCTTATCTCTCCTATAATTCTTTGTGTGTCTCTTTTTCCTTAGGATGTGGGAATCACTGCACAAAGCACCCAGACTCTAGTCTCAGTCGAATAGCACTGGCTTATTGAATGCACAAGCCTTGCTGGATCACAGCACTTTTGTGGAAGTCAGAGAATAGCTTTAGGTCCTGTCCGCAACCCCCTTGTTTGAGAAAGGGTTTCTTGTTCACATCTATGACAGGCTAGCTGGCTTGTGAGCTTCTAGGGATTTGTCTGTCTCTAACTCCCAACTTCTTGTAGAAACATTGGGGTTAAAGATACATGTGCCACTGTGTACATCTGTGTGTGGGTTCTGGAACTCTGAACTCAGATCCTTATGCTTGCTCAGTAAAGGTTTCATCTACTTAGCCATCTCCCTATAGCCCAGGGTCTTGTGCTCCCCCCCTCTCCACCCCATCCTGCCATCCACCCACCCACCCACCCACCCATCCATCCATCCATCCATCCATCCATCCATCCATCCATCCATCCATTCAGACTCTGCTGGCCTTTTACTTGGAGATAACTGCCTGCTTTTGCCTCTGTAGTGCTAGGATTAAGGGTGTGTTCCATCATGCCTGGCAAAGTATTTTACTTCATGATGGAGGCTTCTGCTTATTAAATCTAAGGTATAAAGTACCTAACAACTGGCAAGCTTAAGACTAGAAGGTATCATCTTCCAGAAAGCCAGTTAACTACCCATATTTTCATATAAAAAGATAAAGCAGTTTTACTTTTTTGGGGGGTTATATTACTGGGTATGCTCTTTCTAATCAAGCATATTATAGTAATATAATATAAATATATAGTAATATAATATTAAACACTCTTGTCTCTGGTGTATTTCTGAATCTTTCACAAATCAGGCACGTCTTAGGGTGCTCCAGCTATGTTTCCCATAACGCTGCTTGTTCTAAGTGCCCACTTCCTTCTAGTAGATGTGTAATTTACATTCATTAAAATGTCCTAGTGTGGGTGACATTAGCAATCACCAAATCAAAAATAAAACTTTTTTGTTACTAAATAATGTAGAAACCAATTGTTTGCATCTAAATTGGAGAAAATGGGACTTAATAAAGAATAATGAGGATCTTTTATTGATATGCAATAAAAGATAATATCTTTTTTTCTGATATATATCTGTCTTAAAGGGAAATTTGAGATCTTATTCTGATAATAAAGATAGTTTCTTTGACTGTGGTTATGATAGAATGTAGTATGCTTTTCTCCTTTTGATATAGCCTGGAAAGAAACTACAACTGTAAGCCTAGGATGATTTAACGATTATCTTTCAAGCCTTAGTTTTATTTTTAGGAAATAGATTAAAAGTAAAAACATTAGGCTTGAAATAAATGTGGAATATTTTCTCTTTTCAAATATATCAGAAAGAGGCTTTCAGCTGCAAATAGCCTAATCCATTTTGGACCATTTATGCAGAAAATGATACCGAGTGCTTTATAGGATTTCTAGAATGCCCAGGGAGGTTATGTAAGTAACAGAGGAGAAATGTCAGGTCACAGCAATGCCCCAGTAGTGAAATCAGTTCTGATGTGGTTCAAACTGGTCCTGGGGAATGCTTGGTCAGGTGAACCTGCCATAGCTCCCTTGGAAAAGCCGAAGTACCTGTCACAGGAATGGCCATTCTTGTTGGCCACATCTTTCTTTGAGGACATCTGGGATCAGTGTAGACTAAGCAGTCTCTGATTCATGCCACAGTTTCTCTTTTCCCTTGTTCTTTTTCTAGTACATGAATCTTTGTTATCTTTAGCCAAATCTGTTCTCTGCTGTGGCATCAAGAAGGAATATTCAGGATTGGAGAGTCTATGGAAATTTTTTTGTTAATCAGGACTGACTGGTTTTTAGGACAGGATTCAAAGGAAGACTCAAATTTTGTGGTGGATATTTGACTTTTCTTCTGTGGATATGTCCTCTATACTGTGGTGAGAACGACAACTCCCCTCCCCACCCCAGGGATGTGCCCCATCCCTTCATTCTGAACCTATGTCTGGGAATTTTAAGAATATAGACTGACATAGTCAGTTTTGCAGTTTAATGGGTACCTGTCTCAGAAAAAATCTCCTAGTAAAATTAGAAAGTTGCCTCCCTTCTTTCTTTTATACATGTAATGTGTGTGTGTGTGTGTGTGTGTATGTGTATGTTAGCATTTGTAGGCATATGTGTGTGTGAGTCTTTGTTTCCATGTGTGTACATACTTATGGAGGCCTGAAGTTTGATAGACTGTCTTCCTTCCTTCCTTCCTTCCTTCCTTCCTTCCTTTCTTCCTTCCTTCCTTCCTTCCTTCCTTCCTTCTTTCTTTTCCTTTCTTTTCTTTTCTTTTCTTTTCTTTTCTTTTCTTTTCTTTTCTTTTCTTTTCATCTTCTTTTGTTTTTTTGAGAGTATCTTTCTTAATCTGTCTCCGGTATCGTACCTCGGTTGTAAAAACTTGATTCCTATGCAATTACAGCTTGCTCAACCATTGCCGTTAGGCCACAAGCCAGAGAGGAAGGTTTGCTGAGACAACCTGTTTGATCAGATAGCCTGTCTTGCTTGAATAATCAGTTCCAGGAAGAAGAGACCCAGACCCTAACCTAGTCCTCCACAGTTGATCAATATTTTAGTTTCTAAGCCTCTCTATAAATTACCAATTCTCCTGTCTCTTCCCACAGCCCCTCCATGCCCATAGGAAAGACAGTGCCCCTCACTGTCTGTGCTCTGATCAGCTGCATCTGTGGAGATTAGACAATGCCCTTTGTATCTATATTCTATATCCAAAATCTAACACTCTGCTCTTCATATAAGGCAAGGCCTTTCACTGAACCTATAGGTCTCTCATTCCAGCTAGTCTGTTGACCAGGTAGGTTACTCAGGGGCTCCTGATCTCTGCCTCCTTAGAGCTGGGATTGTAAGGTGCTGGATGCTGGGCATCTGACCTCTAGTCTTTATGCTTCTGTGGAAAGGGCTTGGATTGTCTCCTCAGCCCACAGAGGCTTCCCAGCAGTAGGCACAGTATGGGCTCTATGAGCCCGAGTTCGTACTGTGAAGCTTATGTTACCTATGGTTTGCCTAGGGCTATTCACAGAAGGAAATAAAGCTCATACACTCTTTACATTAATCCCAGACAGAGAGTTGAAGCTGACCAGAGCACTGTCCATGGTTAATGTGATATCATTGGCCACTTCAGCTTAAATTTTGACAAAGTCTTATCATCTTGGCTGTTATCTATAGTAAGGATAACTGATTATGTGATATACTCGGTGAATAACCTTTCCTTCTAGGAAGATTCTCAGTGTAGCTAAAGTAGCCAGAGTTATCTGAGGGCTCCATAAATAGTTCAATATCTTTTATGATTACGTATAATGTGCCATCAAATTAATGTTTGCTTCCCACCTAATATATTTGGTTGTGAAGCCATACCTGGTGCTCTTAGAAAGTTTCATTCTCCTTAAGACCTCCCCCTTGGGGCCTTAAATGAAAGGGGCTGTGTACACCACCTTCCAACACCCAGTTCTCCTATCTTCTTGGAGCATCTGTGAAGAGAATCCAGTGTATCATTTTTGTCTTTGTGATTCCCCACCTCACAGATGGTAGACACACAAACAGCTGTGCGGGTAGACACCCAAGGCTGTGGGAACATGCTTTACATGAGCTTTGAAGGAGTTCCCTTTTACAAATTGGAGAAATGTTTTGGTGGTGGTGACAGATTTTGCTCTAAGAGAGGGCCATCGAAATTACAGAATGGTTGTCTTTTCAAATGAGATGTAAGTATTGCCAAAGGGGGACATTGAATCAGGGGCCTACTTGTCCTTTGACCTGGAAGCAGATATTGTTTCTGCTTTCTAAGGCATTATGCGATAAGACTTGTGTATGCCAATGCCTCTACTGTAAATTCTGCAGAATTCAGAATGACTCTGGGGAATTGTCTTGCAATAGCGAATAAACTATTGATCCAAGTAATGCCACCCTTTTTTCTTGCGTTGCCTTCATTCTTGATGTTTCTAGAGTTCTTTAATGTATTCAT